ATTGCATTCTGTCAGCAATGTAACGCGGTAGTAACGTATAGAGACCTCGGCTTGTAACTATACTCTAATTACTATTTTGAAAATTATAACGCGTTAAATTACTCCGTTACTAAAAAAGTAATCAAATTACAATAACGCGTTACTAAGTAATGCGTTACTGCCCAACACTGCTTCTGGCTGAATTAGTCAGATTGTTTTCTGTTGAATTTGTAGGAAGCAACTTCTGAAGTCTTGTGAAGTCTAGATGGCAGTAGAATGTGTTGGGATTTCATCCATTCTCTTGAGATGTGAACAAAACCATTCCCTAAAGATCAAGCCTTTATTTGGGTGCTGTAGTGTAGCAACCCACACCTCACATGGAAAGATGGAGGGAAGGAAGGAAGATATAGTGTAGCAGTTCACATCAGGTGCTTTTCAAATAATATGTGTGGGGATATATAGGAAAGGAAGGAACAAAATAAAATCAGGTACAAAAAGAAGGTGAAGGATGGAAAACCTGTAGTTTAGCAATCCATAACACAAGAATGAAAAGGGAAAAGGATGTAAGGAAAAGCAACAGAAAGGAAGGGAACAAAAAAGAAGAATTGAAAAGGAAGGAAAAAAGAAAAGGAAAGGAAAGAAGGAAACAAGAAAAGAAAGAAGGATAAGGTAGGAAAAGAGAAAAGTAGGAATGAAAAGAGAATAGTAGTAAGGAACGAAAAGGAAGGAAAAGAGAAAAGAGAAATGGAGGGTTGAAAAGGAACAAAGGAAAGGAAGGGAAAGAGAAAAGGAAGGAAATAAAAAAGGAAGGAAAATGGAGTAGTAGGTAAGGGAAGTATTAGCAAGTAAAAATGGTGTGAAAGGAATTTAAAGAGAGAGAAGGAAAGTAAAGGAAGTATTAGGAAAGAAAAAAGGAATAGGAAAAGAGGAGAAGGAAAAAATTAAAAAAAGGAAGATAAGTAAAAAAGGAAGGAAAAGGAAAGAAGAAGTGGAAATGGGAGAAGGAAAGAAAAAGGAAAGCATGCAAGGAAGAAAGAAAGAGTGGGAGAGGAAGGAAGGTGTATAGAAAATAACTTACAGTTATTCAACTACACATTCCCATGATTCTCTAACACTGTCACATCTCTTCCCCTCCATCTGCTGATGTCTCAGACTCCTGTGTGCAAATCTAATCAGTGGATTCTCAAAAATGGAATTTGGTGCTGGGTAGCGGAGAACAAATTGTTGGACTGACACCGGGCCCAGCTGGTAATAAGATTTCCTGTGCTGAATGCTTCAGGGACGGGACAGACCTAGGGAGAGGTTTTGACCCAATGCATTTAAAAACCTGCTTTTAACTCTAGCACAGCAGCCCCTCGATGACGAGAGAATAATGATAAATATTTATTAGGGGAATTTGGTGTGGCCCATGATTCACGCTGAGGTTGTGACAGAGCCCAGGTTGACAGAAGCAGAGTATTATTAGATACCAAGTGTTTAAAGACAATGTAATGTGACAGAAAAAAAAGTAATAGCATACAGAGGAAATGAAACAGACATTACTCTTGTGCTCACTCCAGTTTATGCTGCAGTACATCAGAGAGTGCAGCAAATCCATTGATTTCAATGGGACAAATCAAAGTCCCTTTCAAGCAAAGTCAGTTCACTTAATGGCTATAATTGCAACACCTCAGGCAGCTATATATATATATATATATATAACTGAATAACCAAGACAAATCCTCCCTTCCTAGGTTCCTAATAATATTGAAGTATGTTTCTTCTGTTGTCTGTGTGTGTGGCTGTTGGTATGTGATTATATCTATAGATGATCTGAATCAGACACATCAGCACTGTGTACTGGCTGGTGACACGGCTAGATTTAGCTCCACTCACAGAGTCGTACAGGTGAGTGTCGTCTCTCCAATTGTCCTGATCAGACCTCTAACTTCATCATCCTTCATGTTAAATCCTCAACCAGTATCTCCCTATTTCTGGCTTATATGTAAATATCACACTATTAGTTTTCATGTTCCTTTAGTGTTGTACAGGAACGCTGGACTACATACAGAAACGGTGCTCAGAGGCCTTGGAGAATTTACACACCGACCCTGAGAAGAACACCAAGAGCCTGAAGTCCCTCCTCCCCTCCACTCTCCAGCACATTGAGGACATCCACAACGAGGTGTGTATTTGAACGAGAACGTGAGTGTGTTTGAAGCATTGTAAAATGTGTACTCATAACACCAAATCCCAAACGCCTGTCTCAGGCCATAACAGATGAGGTTGTCGGAGGTTTTTTAAAGGTTGTACTTGGCATACATTTTTCAAACCCCAAACAATAGCTCTTTCAGAGGGCCTAACTATCAGTGCAGCCTTGTGTAGGTCTCTGTTGAACCCCAACTTTTAGTGGATTACCACTCAGCACCTTAAAACCCCCCATCAAAATATAAAGTGCTATATGTATATATATATATATATATATATATATATGCACCCCTGCCCTGCGGCAGCTTCCCCGGAGGTTACTGACCTCAGCACTCTGACCTGATTGAGGCTATTTAGTTGAAACTGCCCACGAGGGCCTGTGTGTGTTCTTAAATGATGTATTATTATATTATTTATTATTAATACTCGTTTTTATCCCAGCATGCTGTTCTGGCAGATCTCAGCGTCTAGCTCTTGTTTAGTGTGGTGGACTACATGGAGTTTGTGGTAAGCAGCTGCTGATCTGCAGTGTGTAGGATTTATGGAGTGTGTTAGTCCATTGATGTTGATAAAGGCGAATGTTTACCTGTGTGTTTAGGGTCTGTACTGGTAAATGGAGTTTCAGGAGAGGTTGTTATTAAAGAGATCTTTTTTGCTCTCTGTATCTCTCACTCCCAAGATTTTGGGTCTGCAGGGTCTTTTGAAAAGGTGTTGAATTGAGGGCTATTTTGCCTAAAAATGTAAATTCTGTCAACATTTGTTTACCCTTATGTTGTATGACTTGAACAAAAAAAAATGTCCGACCTACTCTTTTCTATACAATGAAAGCAGAAAGTGCCAGGGTCTGTGAACAGCACAGTGAAAGTGGTTCATATGACTTGTATAGGTCTTTCACAAAATAAAATTTTCACTACATGATTATCATAACCAAAATGATAAGCAAAAACAATAATATTCAGATATCTGTAGAAAAAAGAGTCAGATTTATCTTTAACTTTTTGCATAATGGATCATACTCAAAATACCAATGTAGGGAGGAAGAGAGAGCGTAACTAACCATTAGTTAAACATAAGTTGTAACCAACTGTTCAAAAATAACTTACTGTTTACTGGCACTTCCAAAAAATTAATCTAAGCAACTCTAGCACTAGCAAGCTCAATTTGTTTTAGGTGAGGGTAGAGTGTGTCGCTTTTGTTTGTCTTCTCCTCCGACATAATTTTGTGTGACAGTAGTTTGTCTTGTTTTTCCTTGTCTTCGTTGCCATCTTTTTTCGGTTTATGACAGGTGGCAACCAGCGTTAAGGTGCAATCTTGCCACCTACTATGTTGGAATGTCAACCATTTAAAACTTTGATTATTTGCTATATTATCATTTATGCATTATTAACATGAAATCGATTTTTTTTATTTTTATTTATTGTTAGTACTGGTATGTTGTGACACCCGTGCTTATGTGCAATCTTCCAAGTCTTCTGAAGCCATGTGATGATAGTTTTGTGTCAGAATTGTGTTGTTATTTGCTGAAAATCCACTGTTCACCATTGCTTTTGAGTCTAATTTGCTTATACATATTCAAGTTTTACATCACTAATCAGATTTCCATCAATGTATTTTTATGCAAACTTGTTCAACCGATCAGAACGCACCAGTTTTGCATAAGCACTATAGAAATGTTTGTATTCCCTTATATACAGTAGGTGGGTTTCCAGTCATGTAATTGTTTTGTGAAATTGAATCAAAAATGTGAAACAGAAACTTAAAGATGCAAATGGAATCGCCAAAATGCACATAAAAAAACATGCATAAACTACAACACATTTATGGAATAAATTCCTAGATGTGCATCAAAAAAGCTATGCTTCAAGAAGTTGTGTCACTGAATACTTAGGTTATATTTTCTTACATTTTGCATCCCTACAATTGTCTTTGTCTGAGCTGACGTGCACACACATATATATGGCTCTTTATTTATATGACCAGGTGTGCATATGTGGGTTGACAGAGCAAACAGCACAGACTGGCCTCTATTGATTGAGTCACTGCAGTGCTCCACTCGAGGGTGATCTGATGAAATTGATTGGTAGTCCTAAGAGTGAGCCTTGGGTGAAAGATGTCCAGAAATCTTAACCCATTTGATCTATAAGATGCCGCAGTACTATATCCGCAGGAAACCAGTACCAGTAGTATAGCTGACTTGTAGTTATCGCCACGTTCAGCTGGAGATATAGGCAGACAGACTCTCCACCTGTCACTGAAAGCCTTTTGTTTCTGTCTGTTTCCTCTCTCTCTTTTTCTCCCTCCAGCATATGCAGGTGGCATTTAGTCTCAGTACCTCACAGCAGCAGACGGCTTGGCCCTAAATGCCAGTCGCATAGTTTCCAGCTCTGTGCCTGTTGCAAGCCTGCACTGTGGGAAACTGGCCTCCATGTTGGCTCAAAGCTCTCGGTGCTGTGTGAGCTTTCAACGCAGAAGGACAGACAGACAATCAGCACGGGGGGGAAGGACAGACACAAAAGCGGCTGCTAGCATTTGTAGCCTCCGGCGTTCGTAGAGAGGCTCTCAACGGTCGGCATTGGTTTGAAGTGATTGTAGGTTTGAACCAACACAAAGTGTAGCATTTGTTTGAAGACGGCCATATGTGAAAGTGAACCCTGGGTGTCTGATCTCAATCCAACTAAAGATGATCCTGTTCAAGCCAGTTTGAATGCTTATAAACTGATAGCCAACACAGATATTTATGAAGCAGAATAAGAGTCAGGTGTGCGGTTTTATGGTCCGTCAGATAAATGACCTGTCCACACCAGTTTTTCAGTGCAACAGGAGTTAAAAACAAAATACACACACATATTACATTCTACTCTTAATATTAAACATACTACTGAGGGCTCAAAAATAAATAGGCAATAAGAATTTTTTCTGCCATCCAGTTGGGCTGCTACTATTTTTACTTGCCCTGCCAATGTTTTCACTGGCTTCACCACAAAAGAATGGTCAGTTTTTATTCTTACAAATATTTTTTTATTTCATATTTGCTAGAAATGTGTATATATATATATA